GCTTCCAGCGCAAACATACCGGTGCATATCATTAAGTCATTAGGGCGGTGGAAGTCATCCGCCTACACAACCAACATACCAAAACCTACACAAGAATTAAGAAAGGCTTTTAAAGAAATGTCTGGATAATTGTATGAAATTGTTGACTGTATTAAATCTTCAATTATTCAATTTTTGTCCTCTTTATTTACAGGCCTACCGTATCGTCGGTATCGGCACACCACAACCGACTTTGCTCGTTTATACTATCCTACGTTCTCACTTGAACCTACTCCATATATGGCTATATAAGTCACTCCCCTATATAAGGTACAACCGTTACCTGACTCCACACCGTTCAAGGTCAGCGTCTGAATGACCCTCCCACCCACTCCTCTCTTACAACACTTTTTTTCTTTTTTCAATTCTATCTTACTTTATTTCTTCTTGGTGGGCCCTCTTTATTTACAGGCCTACCGTGTCATCGGTATCGGCACACCACAACCGACTTTGCTCGTTTATACTATCCTACGTTCTCACTTGAACATACTCCATATACGGCTAAATTGCCCCTTACACAAATATATATATATATATATATATATATATATACACACACACACTATCACACCTATTTGTAATTGTGTTGAACATATACACCACCCCCTAGCCTATGAAAAGCAGTTTACAAAGTGTACATTGCCCTGTTGTGGTTTACACTGTTGTAAATTATTGTTACTGACCCAGCTCTCCACTTGACCATTCTGTATTCTGATACCCCTGACCTGGCTTTGCCTTTCTGTTTATCTGATTTCTGGTGTTCATTCTGGCTAGTCTTGACTTTTCTTTCATTCTATTTTGAGGTGCCCGGACACTTTTTTAAGAACCGGTAAAAGGCCTATTTACTGAGTTTATACACTGCATACTTGGATTTAATATGCTTATCCGCAACAATCGGTCAGAATTTTACAAGGCTCAGTTGCTGCGCTGACACTACTGTTCTTACGCGTGTGATTACCAAATTACATTCTGACAGTGGGTCATTCTGTTATTCAGTCATTCCACGTATTGCGGGTTTATATACTTTTTATGACTAAATGACCAAATATGTAATTTTCTGTCATTTTGCAGTTCTTCCAAAGACAAATGTACGTCTAGTTTAAAGAACTGTAATATTACCTATTAAAGTAAACATTGCTGAAAGATGGTTATCACAATTACACATACCCTTGTGAACATTCACTGCCCAAGTATTTGCTTAGAAAAGAAACATCAGTAATTTGCATCTATATCTGTGCTTAATGTACCTACATGGATGTGTTTTTTTTGTTTTTTTTTCTGCATCGATACATGCACGTACTTATCTTTGCTGTAACAGGGGTATAACTTGGACATGTATTGTGTAGCCACATTATTCAAGCTCTTGTTTTGTCTGCATTTTAATGTTTTCCTGTAGATAGACAAAGTCTCCTCTATAGAAGTTCACAGATTTGTGTAGCTTTGGAATCCATTAGGAGTCTCTGATGGATCCTGTGTCTTGTGATAGCTGTGAATGTATGCTGCATTTAATTTGTTTTGTGCAACGTTGATGTCCTAGCGGCATCTCCTTTTTTCAGCTGATTTCAGACGAGAGATTGAACAGCTGTGAGTGGCATGGTGGTTAGAATTTAGAGACACAATTAAGTCATATTGGTGCAAGGAAACATGTTCTCTTCAGTTCATGAAGGGAGAGCATATCAGAGTCTAATTTGTGCAGGTCGTAAGATACTCTTTAGTGAGACCTTATAGCAGAGTACTAAAGACGCACACAGACAGGTGCGCACACACTACACGCTGACTGATGCGCACACACACTGAAGAATGCAGATTGATGCGCGCGCACACACATGCAGACACACGTTGACCCATACTGCAGACACACTCTGACCTATGCCAACACACACTGACAGATACACACACTGACATGCACAAACACAAATACTTCACAAAAACACATTGTGACGTCCCTGTGATGGACCGCCTGGCACCCCGAGTACTTCCAAGCACTCCACCAGACACCATCAGCACCGTAGTCCCCACTTCCAGCATTACAGCGTGGCTGGGTTCTCGCCATCATCCGCCAACCCTGGACCCAAGACAGGATCCAGCTTCCAGTGGGCAGACCTCTCCTTATCCAGACAGTGTAGCAGGATACTCTTACAAGAGCAAGTGATTATAACCCAGAGGAGTATAGTGATATAGCTATCCCCAAAGCAGATACAGCTGTCCCCCCCTCCACACACACACACAAATGAGATGAGACACTATGTTGAGGGTAGGCCGGGACCAATTTATTGGCAGCCACAACTAGCATTATATGCAGGTCCCCATGCAAGGGGCACTCCCCCCTAGACTCTGGATAGGCTACAGTAAAAAAATACACATGATTACATTGGTTCTCAGGTCCAGGACGCTCCCATACAAAATAGCTCAATCCCTCCCCTCTGTCTGGGAGATAATTACTTGAGTACACAAACCCCTAATTAAATTATTTATCAGTACAAGAAACATGCAATACAACAACACCCTAAAAGTACCCGTAAAAAACACATGGCAACCCCACAAAAATCATATCCCCTGATAGCCCCGATCTGGGGGACCAACATATCCAAAAATTACCCAGATGATTTTAGGGGTTTGGGATTTCCATGGAAGTCATAATTTTGACCAACCGTGCACATGGTCCTATGCCCAAAACAGTTCCAGAGAATTAGGGCCAATGGTCAGTCTCTCTTTATGAAGTAGAAAAAAAGTACATAAATCACAAGTTTTTAAAGGGCCCATAGTCCTGGGGCAGGAGGCTGGCAAGCAGGCTTCTCTAAAAGCCAGTGGCGTGGTTTTGTTCACCACAGTCCCATTGACCCACTTACCTTTCTTGAATATTTGACTGCTTTTCATGTGTTCCTCCTGGCAGCTTCCCTGCACCTGGCCGCCTTCACTCCGTCGCAGCCCCAACGCCTGCTATGCTCCCGCCCACTTGTCCCCATTTACATGGCAATGGCTGGGAATGAATAATTTAAGCTCCCTTGCGCTGCTGCGTCAATGGACATCCTTGTGGGGGGGGCCTGACTGATCAGGCTGAAGTAGATGCCGCCGGACCAGTGGGTACAGCAGTCATGTAAGTGATCCCTAGCAACTGATAACATTGCTGGTGGTCAAACTAGCAGTATAATTATTTAAACACA